AAAACGGATGGATTGGGTTACACAAACTGTCAGGCACCCCCTACGAAGAAAATCAATGGACAAATGAGCTCATTGCTTAATATATAGTGTGAGTTTAATCGAGTTTAGTTCTTTCAGATTATTTCAGAAGTGTTGCGAAATACATGGTACATACTTAAGGACCTACAGCATGAGTAGAGAAGTTTTAACTCTTTCTCTCCGTAATTATTAGTTCACATTCTGACGAAATTATTCAGTTTGCTCAGGACTAGTTCACTCCGCTGTTATGATGAAGCTTCAATAACTTTTTTTGTTTGTTATCAGAAAATGTTTTACCTGGTATAGAACTAAAGGGGAATACGTGCTCGTTTTATGTAACACAAAGGCAAGTTTATAAAATTAAACATTAATTTAGTTTTATGAGGTCAAAATAACAATGGTATCGTCAATTAGGAGAGAAAGAGTTAAAAAGTATTCTGATTGTCCACAGTTCTCAATTTCTAGTATCTTCAGTATCTATCTATGATCTGGTATCTTCAGTATCTATCTATGATCTAGTATCTTCCGTATCTATCTATGATCTGGTATCTTCAGTATCTATCTATGATCTAGTATCTTCAGTATCTATCTATGATCTTGTATCTTCAGTATCTATCTATGATCTAGTATCTTCAGTATCTATCTATGATCTTTTATCTTCAGTATCTATCTATGATCTAGTATCTTCAGTATCTATGATCTAGTATCTTCAGTATCTATATATGATATAGTACCTTCAGTATCTATATATGATCTGGTATCTTACAGTATCTATCTATGATCTTGTATCTTCATATCTATCTATGATCTGGTATCTTCAGTATCTATCTGTGATCTGGTATCTTCAGTATTTATCTATGATCTAGTATCTTCAGTATCTATCTATGATCTGGTATCTGCAGTATCTATCTATGATCTAGTATCTTCAGTATCTATCTATGATCTAGTATCTTCAGTATCTATATATGATCTAGTATCTTCAGTATCTATATATGATCTAGTATCTTCAGTATCTATATATGATCTGGTATCTTACAGTATCTATCTATGATCTTGTATCTTCATATCTATCTATGATCTAGTATCTTCAGTATCTATCTATGATCTGGTATCTTAGGTATGTATCTATGATCTGGTATCTTCAGTATCTTTCTATGATCTAGTATCTTCAGTATCTATCTATGATCTTGTATCTTCAGTATCTATCTATGATCTGGTATCTTCAGTATATATCTATGATCTGGTATCTTCAGTATCTATGATCTGGTATCTTCAGTATCTATCTATGATCTAGTATCTTCAGTATCTATGATCTGGTATCTTCAGTATCTATCTATGATCTTGTATCTTCAGTATCTATCTATGATCTGGTATCTTCAGTATCTATCTGTGATCTGGTGTCTTCAGTATCTATCTATTATCTAGTATCTTCAGTATCTATGATCTAGTATCTTCAGTATCTATCTTTGATCTGGTATCTTCAGTATTTATCTATGATCTAGTATCTTCAGTATCTATCTATGATCTGGTATCTGCAGTATCTATCTATGATCTAGTATCTTCAGTATCTATCTATGATCTAGTATCTTCAGTATCTATCTATGATCTAGTATCTTCAGTATCTATCTATGATCTGGTATCTTCTCTTTACTTTAGTGTCTATATTTTACGTTGCTGTCCCTCAACAATTTCTGACACTCTAAAATTTCTAGTTTTATGCTGGTTTTATCTTTCTTGTGTCACAACTATCATCAATTAGCTCCCTTTATTTGTACATTTTTTCTCCACAATCACGAAAACAAAAGTAAAATATTTTAAGAATTTAAATTTTAGGTACAAACTGTTTGCGATGATAATCGTCCTCCAAATTGTATGCCTAACTTACTAGCATCAACAAAATATAGTGTACAGTATTGGATTTTGTTCAAAGGTTGAAAGACATGCAATGGACCTCACTCACCAAAACGAACTGTCACGTGATAACCATTGATAAAAACAACGGGGAAAAAAAACTGTCACGTGATAACCATTGTCGAATCGGATTGCGTCGTAGGTTGTATATAATGGATAGGGAAGCACCTGGTTTATGTTGCTTGTTTACGATTGGTGAATGAGTTCCAGTGACGTGTTACCCTATCATAAGCATGTGATCAGCAGAACCTGTATTGAAATGGCTATACATAATAACCAAAAAGGAATACCTCAGTGCAGTGTTTCCCGAATTTTTTCCTTATCGGAACACTTCACACATTCTGAAAATTTAGAGGAGTACTTTGCTAATTTTTTTTTTTTTGAGATCAACTCACGTGGTGGGTGGCCTACTAGTTAATTATTCCAGTAGTTCGTGGAACACCTATTCAGGCCTCGCGGAACACTAGGGTTCCACGGAACACAGTTTGGGATACACTGCCTCGGTGCATTATTGCTGCTTATTCCTTTGTATTTTGAACTACTAATTTATAGTATTAAAAAATGGACGATGCTGCCGCAAAAGATTGCGAATCCCTGCCTTCAGTGAATGTTAACGAAACCATCATCGAGAACGGTAATTTGAATTCAAGGGACACAATCGTAAAAAAAAGAAATCTACAAGTTATTTTCCTCAGTAATCTGATCTTAGCAGTATGGCGCCACACAGTAATGAGCGTATTTAAATGAGACTGTATGGAAATGGAAATACCAATCTTCAGACCTGTATCTGTTCTTGCTATTTTTAGTAACACCGATAGATGTACTCTCGATATTGTATTGAGAAAACTACTGGCTTATTTTTAGCATGCACTCCAGTACTTTTTACAAAGCTTCTATTAACTCACTCTGTCTGTCTGTCTGGTAAAAAGTGTGTACACGTTATTTCTTTAACATCCATTGCCGTATCAAGCTTTAACTTCACACCATTATTCATTAACAAAGACAAGATATGAATAAATAAAAATAGACAATAAATTACTGGTAAATCATTACTTGTTTAATAGCGACAAGGGAAACCAATACTTCAGTTTTCATAGATAAGGCTAAATCGGTTGGGTTTAGTCACCTTAAATAATTGTTAGCGCTATTTCTCCCTCACGCATTTTGTGATCAAGTTGATACTTTAAACAAGTATTTATAGTACTTAACAAAACACGAATTAATAAACAAAAATACTCAATAAGTCAATTAATTTTTGGTAATTAATTATTTTGTTTGATATTGAATAAGGAAAATAATTTGTACATTATTGGTAGATGTAGTTTCAAGTGCAGATTGTCTTCCCCTGTATATTAGTCTTGTTGTTGTTGTTGTTGCTGCTATGTTTTTGCTGTTGTTGTTATGTTTTCGTTGTCGTTGTTGTTATGTTTTTGTTCTTGTTATGTTTTTGTTGTGGTTGTTGTTGTTATGTTTTTGTTGTTGTTGTTGTTATGTTTTTGTTGTGTTGTTGTTATGTTTTTGTTGTCGTTGTTGTTATGTTTTTGTTGTTGTTATGTTTTTGTTGTTGTTGTTATGTTTTTGTTGTTGTTATGTTTTTGTTGTTGTTGTTATGTTTTTGTTGTTTTTATGTTTTTGTTGTTATGTTTTGATGTTGTTGTTATGTTTTTGTTGTTGTTGTTATGTTTTTGTTGTGTTGTTGTTATGTTTTTGTTGTGTTGTTGTTATGTTTTTGCTGTCGTTGTTGTTATGTTTTTGTTGTTGTTGTTGTTATGTTTTTGTTGTTGTTGTTGTTGTTATGTTTTTGTTGTTGTTGTTATGTTTTTGTTGTTGTTGTTGTTATGTTTTTGTTGTTGTTGTTATGTTTTTGTTGTTATGTTTTGATGTTGTTGTTATGTTTTCGTTGTTGTTGTTGTTATGTTTTTGTTGTTGTTATTGTTATGTTTTTGTTGCTTTTGTTGTTATGTTTTTGTTGATTTTTTTTATCATTTGCTTTTTGTTACTTGATTATTATGGATTTAAAAGTAAAATAAATACATAATGACTTGACTTAAATTTTATGTTGGATTCAGAATTTGATCAATAAATTTAGTATTTGATCAATATACATGACAGAATATTTTTAAACATTTCAATAAAAACAAAGAGAAAGTTGACTACACTTTTGCTTGAAATTAAAATTTGCTACAATCATTTTTTTTATTTATTAGTAATTTCTGGATAGTTGAGAGTGAGATTCATTCATAATTTGTATTCTTGAGACTACGCCTTGAGCCCTAGGCCAATGAAAGAGTCTTTCTGTTAGTAAAAAAAAAAAAAATTAAATTAAGATATTCTGTTTCTGTGGCCCACACAACGACCAACCGCCTTTACTCTTCTCCAGCTAATGTCAGGTACCCATTAGAGCTGGGTGGACTCAGAGGAGCCCTAAAGATCCTGAAATTAAAAATCACAGCCTTCACCAGGATTCGAACCAAGCGCTTTGCCACATTTTGCCTCATTTTTCTGTTAGTTCTGATTCCAAACACCTGATTTTTTTGTTTCGAGCTCTCTCAACCTGAGACACTTGAGTAAATGGCGGTGCATTCTTTACATGTTTCTTTACATCATATCTGCTGTGCAATTAAAACGAATATCTTTAGGAACGGTGTAGGGGTTGCGGTGGACTGTTGAGGATTTCTTAAATCCCTGCCATTCGAATGAACTCTGTTCCATTTAGAAGCTTTGTTCAGTCTAGTGACCTAATTGTCTCTATGTTTCCTTTCGGATACCATGCTGAGGTTGATAAGCGCTGCCTGGGTATCTTGATAATAGAAAACATTGAAGTATTTATAAATATTGACATCCTGAGGCTGCTCTGTGGAGAATAAACTTTCCTTTACATGCTTGATCCAATAATGCAAGACATAAAAGGATTGTTTATATCATTGAGATCCTAATCTTAGTGCGTGCATCTCAAGGAAACAGATAGTAATTGCGTCATTCCAGTTCTTAATGTTTCAAGTACTCTCTAAGCTCATTTCTTTTTACAGACTCATGTTCACATTGACATCAACACAATAGAGACAGGAAGTGCAGAGAGTACAGCAAACACGTCATCACAGATTTTGAAAATTTATTTTTACTAAATCAACGATCAAACAGAAAATATAAAATTGTAATATTCAAAAAACCTTCTCTCACATTTATCCACATTCACCAACCCATATTGTGTTGGACACTACTCGTAAAGATCTTTTACCAAACATAGAAGAGCTCTATTGGTGTTTTGATTTACTGATTCGAATCACAGAAAAGGGCTAACGCTTATAATTTTTCGCTTTTCGCCACCATGACTAGATACGCGCCGTCATAATTTAACACGAGATTTGATTGCCCTTTGGCCATGTTTACACAAACACTTCTAAGCCCTTCAACCCAAGCTCATATTTGAAAGGTGTTAGCATCTACATGAATAAAGTATCATTAAATCTGAGATGGTGACCTATGACCCTAGCTCATATTTGAAAGATGTTAGCATCTACATGAATAAAGTATCATTAAATTTGAGATGGTCACCTATGACCCTAGCTCATATTTGAAAGGTGTTAGCATCTACATGAATAAAGTATCATTAAATTTGAGATGGTGACCTATGACCCTAGATAAGAATGAAATAGAAAAGACACTATACATCATTTTGCATGGTCAAGCTCACGTTTCTAAATAAAGGTCTTCTTGAAATTTTACACCTGCTTGCTTGTCTAAAGTTACATGTATATTGTGTAAGCGGTTTTTCAGAAAGGGCCTGTAACCTGTAATAAGTGGTTCCAGGTTTATCTGGGATGCGCTTACAGTGACCAGCTTCTGATCTTACAGTGAGGCAGCAAAGAGAACAACGCCAGCAGCTCTAGCTCTGTTTTTTAAAATTTTGTATGGAGCAGCCTCCGTCTATCGCAAATTTCAGAGGGATAGCAAGCCATGACCTGCGATCCATAGTTAGCGTACTTAGAATGAACTTCTTGTTCATGAGTCAACTATAATATCATAAAATCTATTCAATATGACTACTGAATGCGCATACATATTACGAGTAAAGAACTCCATCTATTTACGCTAGTGATCCGTGAATTCATTTATTCACTTCAAAAAGATGTGTAACAATTGAGTACTTTGATGAATCAAAACAATAATAATACTTTAAAAAAAATTAAAAACATCATAAAATTACGAGGTAAATAAAAGAATATCGAAGAAGAATGATCGCTCTTGATGAGACGGGTTGATCTCCCTTGCTCTACACAGTGAAACAGTTATCCCCTCTCGTTAGAATAACGAGAATTATAAACCTAATACGTAATACAAGGTATGTACATGAAATAAAATGAAAGAACTCAGTAGATTAATGACCCAATTTGGCCACAACAGACCCAGGAGAGGACTTTTATAGCTAAGTAGGGCAATATTTAGCAAAGTAGGGCTGATTACAGCTAAATGAGGCAACTTAAGCCAAAGACTTCGCTTCTAAGCTTCTTATTTCTGTAACAATATTTTGGGGCAACTTTTTGAATTAATGTAACCCTCCTAGAGGATTATCCCACCTTTTCTTTATTCCTGAATCTCTACATCGGAATCAACTCGATTGCCGAGTTCCCACAATGCTGAAAAAACACTGACCTATGAAAAGAGGGTATATATTCTTTGGGTTAAAATAAAATATGATGCATTTCTTGCTGCTGTTCCATTGTCTAATTAACAAACTATTTAGAAAGACATACGTTATTACTAGATCTTCAGTTCCGGACTCTAGATGTTAAGCTAATGGTTCATAGTTTCTTCTCCTATGGAAAGTGACATTGATAAGTAAAGTCGACAGAGTTGCTTGGCAGGTCGGTTACAAGCCTGCGTAGCTTGCCTTGGTGTCCGACTCGCTGTTTCTGGACCTCTGCCGAACGAAGTCGCCCGCCTTGCTGCTCTGGCTGTGCCGCCTCTGGCCGCTTCCCGCGGGAAGGGGCGGGTGGTACACCAGGACCGGCACCTGGCTGTGGTGCACCACGTACCCGCACACGCTGCCCAGGAGCGCCCTTCGGATGATGCCGTGGTCCCTGCTGCCCAGTATGATCAGGTCAATTTTCTCAGTCTCCGCCTCCTTGATAAGAGCTTGTCCGGCATTGGTGCCTCCGAGGATATGTACGCAACCTTTCACCTGTGGGGAAGACACTAATGTTTATTAGATCATAGGGTCAAGTTTCAAAATATTTAAAACACACTTCAATGTATCAAATATAAAAAATTAATACCAAAATTAGTTCCCCTCAACGTCTAAGTCTATGTCACTGGCAATAGTTGATCCCAGATAGGTAAATCAGTATACAGCTGATATTTCAAACACGCGCTTTTACATCGTGACAGCTTTTTACAGTAACATAATAAATGAAATCTTTATAGTTGTATTTAACAAACATATTGACTTTAAAAAAAAATAAATCTTTGTATTTGCGCATTTTATGTTCACAATATTTAGACATAAATATGCATTTAACGTATCTCCCATATAATTGTTAATAGAATCTTCTAAATATGTTATAAATATTTCAGTTTGGGGAATTTTGTAACTAATCAGTTTGCGCACCACAGCAGAGAACGTGTCTCAGGTTGTCAACACCCGATGAGGATTAATTAAATGAAATCAACAGCACTCACTCCTGACTGTTTGAGCTTTTCCTTAAGTGAATTTCGTATCTCTATCACTTTGGACTGGAACTCAATCACGTGACTGGACATGCTGCTGAAGAAGTTGTCGACTGAAAGAAAAACATTCGAGTCAATAAAATGGCGGAAGACATTCTTGTTGGTTTTGTGACATTCTGGACAGTCTACACAACACGTGAGACATAAAGATACAAGCCACGGCTCTTCCATTTATTCAAGACTTATAGATATGTGACTATCAGCGTCGGATTTAAGAGGAGGCGGTGCGGGGTAACGAATCCACAAAGGAGGGGGGGGGGAAATCTAATTTCGATAGTTTTGCAACTTTTTGCATGCTTAAAATCATATTTTAAATCTTACGGTTTGCAACATTTGAGCGGTTAGGGGATTCCCGTTTGCAACGTGGTTCTAAAATGCAAATGCAGTTACGGCAGCTCGTCAACCAAGGGCCTTACCTTCCACAAACTCAAAAATCGAACGTTTTTTTAAAAAATACAATATACATATTACTTTAAAAAAAAAAAAAAAAAGATTAAATTGACAAATACCGTAGTTGTTTCTTCTAAACTATGGCAAGCTTGAAGATACCAGTACTTTTATTAATAAGTGGATTTGTTTTCAGACTCGTAAAAGTTTAGAAGCCTACACACGACATGGCCTAAGTTGTGCCGATGTGCCAAAAACTCAAAACTCAAACATACGCAAAAATCCTGCTTCGGAGCCTCTACCTACTTAAATCCGGATCAGAAATACACAGCCAAGATGATAAATACTCCGCCAGAACATTCCATCTGACAATACTTAGGCAGAACACTCCCTCTGATAATACTTAGCCAGAGCACTCCCTCTGACAATACTCTTGACCAAAACTTACCAGTCAAGTTACCCGCCACCCCCCCTCCCCCCCCCCCCCCAAAAAAGTGTAAGAATCACATAAGCACAGACAACCCGGTCTTTACGTTTGTCCTGGATTGAGAAACATCTGTGTGATCTCCCCTACCTTCCATTACCACTCTCATTACAAAGCTCACCCTGTCTGTCTGGTACAAATCTTGTAGATGAACTCCTCAAAAAAATTAACCAAGTAGTTCAGTAATAAGTGGTATTAATTAATAATCTTTTTTTTTTTTTTTGGTTCTATATAAAAAGAGAGACAAATCTTGCAGCATTGAGAAATATGGCAGCAACTGTAAGGTTCTTTCCTTTATTTTCAAAGTATTTTAACTATTTAATTTAATATTTGGCTTCTATTTCTCTCAAGACACTGGGCACGATCACGACTCTCACCCCACACTACATAGATCTAAATCCTACATTTCATTTCTCTGTTTTCAGTGTCACTTGCATTGTTGAGTCCTGGTCTTCTAAACATTACACAATACCGATAAACAAAAACAAAACTGATCTCGCTAAATAAATGCGAACATGGAAACTTGTCAAAAACATCAACAACATGCTGGCTGTGGTCTCCCCTTGACTACCACGTCACTGGTTTATTGTTAGATAACCTTGACCTTCTATCAAACTTACTAGGCTATCTATCTGTAATCTTCACTACGAACCAGATCTGGATCTAACCTTTTTCAATACGCAGCCTTAGTTGTGCTGGCGGGCCGAGGCCATCCTATTTATCGTCTGCTAATGAAAGTGTTACTTCAAATCACAACTGCACAGGGTCCACAGCATTTTCAAAGAAGATTAAATCGCAACGAAGATTCACTAATTATAAGTGAAGATTAGCATCTCTACTGCACCGGGTCTACATCATTTTCAAAGAAGATTAAATCGCAACGAAGATTCACTAATTGTAAGTGAACACTAGCATGTCTGTAATTTGAGAACCATTCTGCACTTATAGTGCAAACGTCAACACAAACATAGCTCAAGGTCCACTACTCTGGGAACGCCATATTCAAAATATAGAAGCCATCTGTTTGCATTCGAAACGTAGGCTTCTGTTATTTATCTGCTTTGATTATAATGATTGACATGCATAATTATCACACCGACGGCATTAATAACAAGCTGAAAACGTGAGATAGCCCATTTTTCTTTTTAAGTGTATTTACCTATACATAATAAACACACATAGATTCTTTTTTTTTTTTTTACTTGTTGAAAAAGTAGCCAAAATAATGAGAGACTGTTTCAATTAATAAAATGGAAATAATTATGGGATTTAAGAGGTTATTAAAATGGGGATGCACATTTTAGCTCAAGGGAAACTCCACTGCCGAGTACGTATAGGTAGATAGGGGTTATTCCAGCAATCTGGAAGTGGGTATAGTTATTTCTTTTACAAGTCCTTTAATCAAGTCAATAACTTTCAAAATATATAATGTTGACGTTTCGAATGGGGGGGTATCTTGGTGAATGGTTAATTGATCGTTTTTTTTTAATGCTTAAAAAAGAGTTCACTCAGGGGCTCAAGAGGGGATCACTTCAATTTATACCACCATATCGTTCAATATTCCTAATAAAATAATTAATTCCCAATAGTTAATTTACGAATTGTTTTTTATTATTATTATTGATTCTTATGTGGTCAGGTAAAAGAAAAAGCTTGATCCGAGACTGGGTGTGGGAGAAATCACATACATAAACTTTTGACCAGACACAGAGTGAGTTGATATAAGCTTTGTACAAACTACGTGGCAATCGCTTGTCTGACGACACTATCGTTGAAAGAATGAGGTTAGGGTTAAAGGAGTTAAAAGTACTTACAGTTGAACAGAGACCCGGCAGCTGGACAGTAGCCAACGTAGACGAAGTCGCCAGGCTGGTGGATGTTGTCCATATACCCTGGAGTGGACACAACAAAACAATTAGGGAAGTTCTGGCAACATAAGACGGCAGAATCTGATTGTATAATGTAGGAGGCGCGGTGGCTGAGCGGTAAAGCGCTTGGCTTCTGAACCGGAGGTCCCGGGTGCTAATCCTAGTGAAGGCTGGGATTTTTTAAATTCGGGATGTTAGGGAGCCTCTGAGTCCACCCAGCTCTAATGGTTACCTTACATCAGTTGGGGAAAAGTAAAGGCGGTTGGTCGTTGTGCTAGCCACATGACACCCTATGTTAGGCCACAGAAACAGATGACCTTTACATCACCTGCTTTACACGGTCTGAAAGGGAAACTTTTAAACCTTATTTTAATAGTTGAGTTGACAATTGTTATTTAGTTTGTTTAAAAAACTTGTGATCAGCTGCCGGTCACAGAGACAACTCTCTTACAGCGACACGCAAGCTTAAAGCTACAGTCTTTAATCAGTCTTACTACTTTGCTGTCACATGTCAAACGAAACAGTTTAAGCAT